AACACTTATACATGCACTTAATAACTTGCTATCTACATGCATACAAATCGATGAAAAAATGAATGAGGCCACGATCCAGACGAAGTGTCTAGTCGTGAGGAGGGGTGTTAATGTTCACACCGAATATCTCTGAAAGAATTAAACATTGTATTAAGCTCTGAGTTACCCCTCCTACGAGGTTGACTTTTTAGGATCAAACCTCAGATCTTAACATGCGGTTAGGGAATCTAGCCATGGTCCAAGTATTGGAGGTCAGTATAAAGGTTAATGGAACCAGACTAAAAAAACGACTTTAATTTGCGGCGGTGGTATTGGATCAGCACCGCCTGGAATTCGTGTAGATCTTGTGAGCGGCATGCTTCCTTTCGAGGTGGCTGGACAAACTTCTTCTACCTTCCTGATGGTTGATAAAATCGGAATAGCGTCTTTGGAGGTTGCTGATAAAACATTTTCTCCCTTACTGGTGACTGGAGAAACCAGAAGTTTTGATTCTGTTTGTTGTTTTCATTTTAAGAGCTCTACTTTTATGTCCATTTATTTTAGTAGATAGCAAGTTCAGCGGTGCCTATAGATTAGTCCACCATGATGCCGGGTTAGCAAATTTGACGGGTCCGGTAGTCTGTTTAATTTGTGTCCTACTCCAGGATAACTTTGAGCTATTGTATTGCATGCTTTATCACTTGTGATTTGCACCACTTATAATAAATAAGTTTTCTACTTTCAAAAAATATATGATTCATTAGCATAATTAAATACTCTTCCTGTCCCATTTTACATGTTTTGCTTTCTTTTTTGAATTGTTTCAAAATAAATGTTACATTTTCCCATTTGGTTGAATTAAGCTAACATGCAGATTGTGAATTGTTTAATAAACTCCCATTAAATTTCTCTTACCATAATCTATCTTATTATCTCAAATTCCCATTCAATCCCCATATCGCAATCTACTAGTCCACGAAAAGATTTGATTTGCTAAAACTGCATACCCCTCTGATTTATCCATCAAAATTTTGCCAAATTTGACCGTACGAGAAAATAATAAAATAAAACAATTGTGATTAAAGTTTGTGTAGATGAGAGATAAATGACATAAATCACAAATTGATTTTAAAAGCGAAGTGACAAAGTATTTAGAAAAACAAAACAAGAAAATATGAAAAAGTTATAGGGGTCATATGAAGTATATGCTGTTATTTACTACATACATTTTATGTACACTCCAAAAAAACACAGGGTTGATAGTGATTTTTGGCGGAAACTCTCCAAAATTCATAGAAGTTTTGGCATGAATATCCAAATTCATGCCAAAAACATTTTGGCATGAAATAATTAATAAATCTGTATCAATCCCATAACATTTTGTAGAAATTTATGATAAACGTTATAGCTCAAGAAAATACCCCTTAATATGCCAAATAAATCTTTCCGTGCGATAGTCGTGCATGGCACGGGCAGTATGTATTATAAAATCAAAACTCTCCCTGTTTAAATATGAAAACAGCTCAAACATTTAAAAAACGTTTGAATATCAATTTGTAGCTAAAATGACCAAATGACACATCAAGTGATGATAAACGTGATTACCGGTAAATTATACCGTACACCCGGTTGTACGGTGAGAACCGTACAACCGGGTATTTTTGCAATTAATTGGAATTCCGGAGGAAGAGATCGGTGGATTGGGAGAGATAGGTGGATTGGGAGGGATCTGAGAATTCATTCGGTGGCTTCAAGCTGGTGTTCTCTGAGATTCTGGGAGTTGATGAACGAGACGCCGGCGGATGGATGTCTACTGCTCGCCGGATCTTCTGCTCGGTTGATGAAGGAGAATCGCGGAGTGGCAGTGTGGTCTTCTGCTCGCTGGATGGATGACAGCTAGTTGCTGCTACGTTTTTCTCTTTTGTCTTTTATGTTCTATTGTTCTTCTTTTCTTGCTTTTACGTTTTTCCTTTTTAGTTCTTTCTTTTTCTTAATTTTTTTTATTTTAATATTTATTCAATTATAAAATATTTTAGATACTTTATTCAATTATAAAATATTTTACATACTAATGTTTTGTTTTACTATAACTCATTTTGTTAGTTACACATGCTCATTTGATATTGGTTTTATTCTCATTTTAAAATGTCATATCAATACACAAATCAATATTGAGCACAATATAATAGAAATGAGTTTAATGTTAAATTCAAATGAGTATAACGTCTAAAATGAATGAGCATACACAAATGCATTTTGAATTTTTTTTATACTCATTTTGTAAGTTATGTATGATCATTTGGTAATGTTTTGTGCTCAATTTAAAAGGTTGCACATTTCAAATATATCATACTACATTAGATTCACATCAGAAATAACTTTTATGTTTAACTCAAATGAGTAAAATGCCCAAAACGAATGAGCACATACAATTATACAAGTGAGCTTTTGATTTTTTTATACTCATTTTGTAAGTAATGTGTGCTCATTTGGTACTGCTTTATGCTCATTTTAAAAGGTTGCGCATTTCAAACATATCATACTACATTAGATTCACATATTGAAATTAATTGAAATTTAGACATAACTTAAGACTTTAATAAACGAAAAAATAATAAACAGAAACTGATATATAAGGTATGAAGCAGAGATCATTGATGCTCACCGTTAGGCTCCTAATACTCAAAAGAACAGGCTTGATCCTCATTAAATTTGCATAAATGCTCATTTAATTGAGCATCAAATATCCACTATTGAGATGAAAATTACGGTTTCTGGTGAATGAGCATTAATGAACTGTTAATGAACATCAGACCTATTATGTTGAGTATTAGAAGTCTAATATTCAGAATCGTGATCTCTGCTTCATAACTTCTAATTCACTTTCTTTTTGTTATTTTTCCTTTTATAAAAACTTATTAAATTATATTTCTAATCAATATGTGAACCTAATGTAAAATAGTACTTTAAAGCAAATGCATTGATATGCCATTTAGAAATGAGCATAAGATCATACGTAACTTACAAAATAGTTTGATATGAAAATCGCAAAGTTTGTTAGTTTGACATAACAATATATTCATTGAACATCAAACCTCATCTATTGAGATGAAAATCAGAATTTTTGTTAAATGAGCATTATTGAACTTTTAATGTGCGTCAGACCTATTATGAGCATTAAAACACTTTCGATGAACATCAGACTTATTAGGAATCTAACATTTTATAATAAAATTATAAATATATTTATATAAATTAATAGTATGATTCATAGGTCAAATAAATATTTCAAAAATATGAATTGGTCTTTTAATATAGTAATAATGAGCAAAAGCAAAAGAATAGTTAATATTATAATTACTAATAATGAACAATTGTAGTACGGGAGTATGAAAATATGTAGAATAAGGAAGATAAGAGAACAGATTATGTCAACAAAGCATGACAGCGAGATGGATGAAAGGCCACGTGCTATACTCTAGGTCAAGGGATCGATTCCTGTTGGTGTTTTACGTTTTTAACGAAGGAATCCAGTTCTCAAATCCGAGTTTGGTACTAAAGAACGGGCCTACCCGATTTTAAAAGCCGGATGTACGTACACCCGGGTGTACAATATAGGCGCTCCGTGATTACCATTGTTTAGACAACCTGTAACTTGCTCTACTGGGCCCTCGAGAACCAAGTTTCTCGTGTTAGATTACATTACAGATTATTTAGAGCATCCTCAATGCATTACTTTCTAGTCCAAGTTAAATATGCCAAATGTCAAATAATTAAAAGGGTGTGTAATTTACATAATACTAAGTGGACTAACCGGACATTTAGGTATGAAAAATACGTCCAACGCATGAAGTCTAAGACCCAAATCAAGTGTATATGTGGCTTTTCTTTTATTAATAAAAAATTATTATCCAACTGCTCTGTACGCTAGCTTCTACGCAAATTTGCTCTTTTTCTATTAATTTCCTCATTACTCCATTGAAGTCATTCGAAGAGCAAGTAAAGAGTAGGCAATTTATGTTGTTAGTGGGTTAATCAAATTGAACGTATATACTTCACGTGAAATAAAACTTTATTTAGTTTCTGGATTTTATCATTCCGTACGTAACTCTCAAACCAGCCTTCTTCCCTGATTTGAGAGAACCAGAGTTCTTTGTGATTTGAAAACCTTGAGAATATAAAGATGCCTGGGATCGGAGTTTTCCTGACAGAGAGTTTTTTCGTTTTCCTCTTTTTAATGGAACGAAACCTTTTAATTCTGAGTCAGCATGTTTTGGAGGTTTTCTTTACTCGCACATAGGCCTTCACGGCGTTCAATTTTGTTTTTGCCAGGTCAGCAAAATCCTATAAAGACTATGAGCATTGGAGAGGCTAAAAAATAGAAACTCTCTACGTTAATGACATGGCACACTAAATTCAGACTAAACAGCACCGCATTGCGGTTGCTCTTAGGGGCCGGTACCGTAGAATTTGATAATGATTAAATGAAAAGTATTATAAAAAAAAACGACAAAAGAGAGTGATGTGATAAAAAAAGAAACTTACAATTATGGGATTGATTATCACTTAATAAAGTCAGAATAAAGTAAAATGGAATTATAATCACATAAATATTTCTCAATATGATATGAGATAAATTTAGGAGGAAAAACGTAAAAGAACATAAAGACAATCATAATGGGACCACGCTCTTGGGGGGTGTCCTAGATTATGACTTTGATGGATTTTAAATGATCATGAATTTTGAAATCCGAGGGGAATCTACAAGATTGTGGTAGATCGTTTTTGTATGTAGAGATTCAACAAAATTCATTAAAATCCATCCAAATAAGTAACAACATAAATCCATGGAACGATTGAGGACACCCTTATTTTGATGGACTCCACAAAAATCCAAGTCGAGGACACCTGAATTATGACGGCATTCTGATCTCCATTAAAATCCTCCGGAATCCGAATTTGGCACACCCACCTTAATGGATCCGGAACCTCTGCCATACTTCAAAACAAGGCGCGGTGCCCGGCCCTCGGGAACCACCCAATCAAAAGATGGATGGTCGGAGATGTTGAAGTGCAGATCCCGAGGCCGCTCTTCTCCCATCCGACGGTCCTCTGCGCTCAAGGCATTCTACCGTGCGGGAGAGGATCCCAATCCCACCTTAATTACCCCAGGGATTACATGCAAATATGCAATTCGTAATGGTCATGCGGAACTCGCTGCACTGGGCCCACGTGAGGCGAGTTTTTTAACGTGGTCCGCCTTTTCGTATGTACTGTATAGGGCTCCATCGCATCGGACTTTGAAATTCTAAATTAAGCCGGTAAATCTCCACCATAATCACAGATTACGCACTTAATTAAATCTAGGCCTATAACTCGGATCTATATCGATCGATCTATGTTTGCTTAATTAAGCAATTTCCTTTTTTAGAGAATTGAGGAATCGAAATTCCTTTTTTAGAGACTTAAGGAATTTCTTAATCGACTAATTAACCAAGATCGAAGAGATGAACTTGGATAATCCTGAACTGATGGCGCAGGCCGCCGCGCAGCCAACCTATCTCGACGCTGCTTCTCACTCCGGCAGCTATGCTCTTCTTACAACGCACCAGATTCAGAAGGTACATTCCTCAAATTAAAAAATAAAGTTTAATTGGTGAGATTTTGAGATCCATCGATTACCGTTTGCCCTAACTAGGGTTTCTACCTACTTTGAGATTCAAATTCATTGATTGCTAAGGCATGCAACCAAGTTTTTATGATCATTTTAATTGTTTGGAGAAGTGTAAATTTAGTTCCGTTTTTAGTCCTATAATAATTTTACTTACTTGAGTATTCGGTCAGGTAACTAATAAGTTTTTCCATATTAACACATTACCGTCTGAAAGTATGTTGCACTATCCCGTGAAAATTTTGGTGCCAATGATGTCTTTTCGTGTAAGTTGTTGATATCAACCTAGTCCATACTAGGTCCATATCTAGGCCATAAGTTCAGGTGTAGAACTCACTCCCAAAAAACTAGTCGATTAGGAGGAGGTGACATCTAGCTTATAAGCCTCCGATAAAGTTCATACTTGATCGATGATCGATGTGAGATCATTACAATACCACACGCTTTGAAGAGTCAACGTACTTGTTGGTCACGACTATGTTGGTCACGGTTGGCACCCCCAGGCCCAAGCCACCACTCTGAATGTTGGACAAGGAAGATGGGGACGGCTCTGATAACAATTGATATGAACCTAGCCCACACTAGGCCAATATCAAGGCCATAAGTCCAGGGATAGAAGTCACTCTCAACAGATTAGCCAATTACGAGGAGGAGAGATCTGACTTATAAGCCTCTGATCAAGCCCATACTTGATCGGTGTAGGATCGTTACAGATTGGATATACGTAGTATGGTTTTGATATACGTAGTACAATAGTAGTCCATATGAATATATGTCATCCATTATTGTTTGGGTCATTCTTGTTGTACACAAAATTTGTACACAAATAATACATTGCATGTGTACACACACAACTAGAGAGTGTGTACAATTTATGTACTAATTTTGTGTACATATGTAATTTTCTTTATTATATATCGGATATAATTATATTTTGTGGTTTATGCAGATCCTTGAAGATAACACAAAACTGATTTTGGCTATAATGGAATGCAATAATCTCGGGAAAATGGCCGAAAGTGCTGAGTGAGTTGATTAAATATTTGATTTATGCTACCTAGTTTGTGTGCGCACAAATTTAAAAATTGTACTACTCTTTCTTCTCATTCGAAGTTCTGACTTTCTTTTTGTGGCATTTCATATAAAGGCTCTCATTTCTATTTTAGGAAATATTTAACACTCTTAAATGACAATTGATCATCAAATACTAAAAATAATTCATATAGCATCTCAGTTATCATCAACGATCCCAATATATTATACTAGGTATAACTATTAAAACTATTTCTCAAAATATATTCGATTTAACTTATTTAATTATCTTCAAAATAATCGTATTATTTCACAATGTAAGCCATTAAGCAGGACATAAGTAATACTATCTTCGATCTTAGTTAATTAGTTCCTTAGTTAATTAGCCATGAAGTATATTTTTAAAGTACGGAAAAGATCCTGTCCAGCTGGAGGGACAGGATCCTCCGTCCGGCCACCGCCGTTTGGGGTGGTTCCCGGTGGAGTTTTTTGATGAAATTTTTATGGAATGTTCCTCATTAAGTCTAGTTTATCCACAAAAAATTTCAGCTAAAAATTCGAACGGGAAGGCAGTCAAATAATTTTTTCAAACATAACTGCGTTTTATATGTTTAAGTTGGAGCAGTTATCTTCAAAAAATTATTTGACTGCCTTCCCGATCTAATTTTTAGCTGAAATTTTTTGTGGATAAACTAGACTTGATGAGGAACATTCCATAAAAATTTCATCAACAAACTCCACCGGGAACCGCCCCAAACGGCGGCGGCCGGACGGAAGATCCTGTCCCTCCGGCTGGACAGGATCATTCCTCTTTTAAAGTAATTAGGTCATATCTAGGCAATCTAGCTCCTTAAGATATTATTTCCAGAATAGACTTCAGGCACCGAGTTTTGCAGCATTTATGCCTAGTAAACCAATTTATGTATTTGATAGGCTAGTTTTTTAATCGGGTCAATTGTGCATTTGGGCCAACAAATATCTTGTAATGCACAAGTCACCTCCACCTTTTATGGGGAGCTAGAGGTACACACAATTTGTACACACAATTTGTACACTTGTCTGTCCCTCACAGACAAGTTGACTGTCTCGAGATGAATTGTCTGTTCCACAGACAAGTGTACAAATTGTGTGTACAAATTGTGTGTACCTCAATCTTTCGTATAAGCTTTCGTAACCCTAGCATTTATTAAATTTGTACTCGCGCCCAGGCATTTAGAGAGAGAGAGAGGGGCATGGTAGTAGAGCTGAGTATTGTAAACTTCTTGTGTCATTATCGAGTTCAATACTCTATTTAATTCATCTCATCTACTTTCTACTATGTGTTTTTTTTTGCAAGACTCTACTATGTGCTTTTATTATCTGATTGTCGTGAAAATGCAATTATCAGCCAGTTCCAGAAATTGTCTTGGGTGGGGCAAGATTGTTTTCCATATTATTTTCATCAAACATGTATATAAAACATTCCTGAAATTAGAGTAGGGCCAAATTGGACAATACAATTACATAGCAATCTCATATTTGACATTAAGATTTCAGTTATATCAAATTGAACTGTATGGTCATATATGAATTTTTCATGTTGAATACATAGTACGCAGTTTTAATTAAGGTTTCAAATGGATTAAATCGGCACGAATTTGACGCTTTTCGATCATTTTGGGACACTCACCAAAGGTTTTCATCTTCCGTCCATGAAAATTATTTAGTATTCCTTTTCTTTGTTTTTTATTCCTAAAAGTAACTTAATTGATGCATTTAGATCTATATTATATAATTAGATTTTCCAGTAGAGAAAAACTTATAAGCATTATAATGTGTTAATTAATGTGTATAAATTCTTTAATTTAGTTAATTCAATTTAAGTTATTACCCAAAAAAATTCGCCATTGATTGATTGATTCCATCCCTAGGTTATACTAGCTAGCTTATGTTTGTAGAACCTCTTTCATATAGGTACTGATTTTTTCCTGAGTTTGACGGTTTGGTCTCTATAAATGAAAAAAAGGTATCTAGACATTCTCCAGGAGAACTTGACATATTTAGCTGCAATGGCGGATGTGGTACCACCACAAGGATCAGGAATAGCCTCTCAGGTTAATAGTACTTCGATTTAAATATATACTAATCGGTCTGGTTCGATCTAGAGAGAAAATCTTACGTATATCAATCAAGCTTTGTGTACACGCCATTTTACATGCCAGCGATCGAATAGTCGGTGCAGAGACAATTTTTTTCTATTTGTTAAAAGAATCATCGATATGTGTTTTTCTCGGTGACACAAACAAGTCACACAAAAAAAATTGTCGGTGTGAAAAAACGATTCTCTTTACAAAACGAAAATTTTTTGTTTCTTCACATACAATTTGACCTGCGAGTAAAATGACGTGTACCGTGTACGAACTGCATTTTCCAACATATATATAGTCTACTCCACATTTGCAGGAGCCGGTCATATCAGGTTCTGCTCCTCCACAAGAAACACAGTTGGTTCCGCCGCCGGAATCGCATGCTTCTTCTTCCGTTCGTAAACAGGAACAAAGTGCTGAACCAGTTACGAATCCGCCGCCGCCGTTGCTGCAGCCTAACGCCGCCCTTCTTCCTCAAGAACATGTCCTCCAGCAGCAGCAGCAACAGTTCCAGAGTTGCCTTGGGTTTGCTAGGTTTTCATCCATGAGTGGAATGCAGCAGATCATGCGAGCGGCCGGGCAAGCCACCTCAGGTAGTAATGGCTGCATGAATGTTCAAGGAAGCATGCAGCCCTCTACTGCTAGTGATGGTCTAATGAAACCACAGTATTGGGGAGTTGATGGCCATGCTGATGTAAACTAATGTTGTGATAAGTGTCTGCATGCATGCTTTTGCAATGATATGTTGGGCTAGGTAGACCTTGAACTTATAACTCTGTCATTTCGTAGTTTCGTATAGTACTTGATTGATTTAGAGAATATGTCCATATAATTTTAATGTGTGTCTAGTGGAGGAATAGTAGGTTAATTACCTTTGTGTGTCATCTTATAATCTTATACTACAATTATACGTACTACGTACTCCCTACTCTGTATCAAGGTTTTAAATAGCCGTAGCGGCAGCGGTAGCGATCATCGCAGTAGCGGCCTGTAGCCGACTGTAGCGGTTGCAGCGGCATGAAATATTTTTAATTGCGCAAAACATATATTTAATGGGTGTTAAAGTTAATAGAAACATTATGAATATTTGTTTGAACACTTATAACATTAACAGCTAATCAACCAATAAGAATATGACAATTAAAAGAGAATGATAATTAGAGCGATAGGTAAGATAAATAATTTATTACACACACAATCAAATTGTCTTCAAAATAAACAAGTCTTAACACATCTTTAAATTAAATAGATTGTTACATTAAATGACACATTACAAAAAGTTCCAAATACTACACCTTCACCACCTACAAATACATCTTCAGTGCGATCTTCCCTTCAAAAAAAATATGATAAGCCAAATAATTTAATAAATCAAAAATAATACTCCCTCCGGTTTTATTTAATTTTCATACTTTGACTTCACACAAAATAAGGAAAGAAATTTGACTTTACTGTAGAGTACACTGTTGAGGCATTGTAGAGACACTGTTTGGCATTGTTGAGACACTGTTTGACACTGTTTTGATGTAGATTTCTTTGCCAAAAAAGGAAATAAGGAAGTGTGAAGTTTATTTTAGACCGTCCCAAAAAGGAAAGTGTGAAGTTTATTAAAAACCGGAGGGAGTAATAAATAATTGTAATAATAATAATAATAATAATAATAATAATAATAATAATAATAATAATAATAATAATAATAATAATAATAATAATAATAATAATAATAATAATAATAATAATAATAATAATAATAATAATAATAATAATAATAATAATAATAATAATAATAATAATAATAATAATAATAATAATAATAATAATAATAATAATAATAATAATAATAATAATAATAATAATAATAATAATAATAATAATAATAATAATAATAATAATAATAATAATAATAATAATAATAATAATAATAATAATAATAATAACAATAACAACAATAGTAATAATAAAAATAGTAGTAGTAATAATAATACATATTTGCGTTTCGTTTCCAATTTCATTTGCATAATCCATAATAACATCACTTCCGTTCCAAATTGTTTTCTTAAGTCAACATTTTTTTCGTCAACCGATATTAAAGTTAAATCATTCTTATTAATAATTAATTTGGCTTTAATAATTGTAATTTACATATTTATTAATATTTGCTACCATAATGTATGTGGATAGATGTACATTTAATTTTGAGTTTCACTCCATGCATCACCATTAATGTATTTTTTCACATCATTTACACAACATTTACACATTTACACATCAAACAGTTCACGATGTACTGCCAGAAACATCAATAGCGGGCTATAGCGGGCGGTTTAGCGGATTTTTCCCGTGATTTGGAAATCACACACAAATAGTGGGCCGTAGCGGTAGCGGCCCCTACCGCGGCCGCGATATAGCGGCCGCTATAGCGGTAGCGGGCCACTATTTCAATCCCTGCTCTGTATATATTTGTGTGGATTTATGGACATACACAAATACAAGCACTCATGTTTGTGTGCGACGACGTGCGTGTGTATATGGCCTCTATGGCTCTATATACGAGAGACTTAAAAGAGCTTAAACAGCGACTGAGTCGTCGTGATGATGAAATCCGAGCTCTTCGAGCTAAATTGGCAACTGTTGAGAGAGTAGGGATGACTCTGCGGAATGTCAAGAAGGACGAAGGGGCCCCGTATCCTTGTGAGGCTGATGTTTCAAACATAAAGACAGCTGGTCCGGTTGAGATTGAGTGTTCCCAAGCCTTGTAAGAGGTGCTTAGAAACACGGTCCGACAACTCCTGCCTAGCTAGGTGCGTCAGGGAGTACCTAACGAACACCAAGGATCTTGTGCGGGATGGGATTAAGCTCCTTGATTGCGCCATGGGTGGAAACCATTCCTCCATTCCCTTGCGGATGATACCTTCACCAAAGGTATCGGTCCCATAATAAATTCCGAGGACCACCAAATCAACGTTGAATAATATAGTCATTCTAGGAACCCATAACAATTGGGAGAATGACACTCCCTCCGTCCCTCAAAGTTTGTCACACTTTGACTTTTACGGTCTTCTAGGTAGACATTTGACCGTAATTATCTATTAATATATACCTATAAAATCTATAATAAATTGACATTTGAATAATACATATTACAAAGAATCACATTAAATAATTTTTTTGGGATAAAATATAATTAATTTTGAGTAATTAGCAGTCAAAGTTTAACAAGTTTGACTGAAAAAGTCAAAATGTGATATTTTTGTAAAGTGGTACCATTTTCAATTCATCAATTAAATCGCTATACTAAAAAAGTATTATATTAGTACATTTACTTTTCCATTATTTTCAATGGAGTCAAAGACTTACTATTTTTTGCTTGGAAATATGATGGAATAAAGTAGATGCTCACTAAACTTTCTGCACTTCTTTGTTATGAAACAGCAGTCAGTCCATGCAATTTTCGACGCGATTTTCATTATGAGTCATACGAAAACAGTCTCTTTGCGCTTTAGTGCAAGGTAAGACTGCGTACATCTGACCCCCTTACCCCACCACACGTGGGAGTAATGTCTACAATCAATCACACTATTTTAACCTTTGAGAAATATTTTTCTCACTCCGAATCGGTATGAAATGTTATATCACTGAGTATATATTTAATTAAACCAATTGATAAATCTTAAAAAGCTTATATAAATTTTAAAGATAATGTGATAATATAAAAATAGTATTAATTCATAAATAGATAAAAAAAATTAATACGATGTAGACATGTAAATAAATCTAAAAACGCAAAAGTATAGACTTTAAGATTCTTAAATTGTCCATGTTTTTATTTATTTTTTTCGAAATTTTACAAATATTTAAATTTTTTTAATTTAAAAAAATCTGATATTACATGTCAAAAACCAGTTATAAGGTCAGAAAACTAGGAGACCCCCAAAATTCAAAGTTTTCTTAAGCAAATGTCTTTGAAAACTGAATATTAAGCCAAAAACAACTGCGAAGTTTCAATCCCAATTAAGCCAAAAACAACTGCCAAGTTTCAATCCCAACATAATAGCAACCGATGTTAATAGTAAGACATCGCCAATTTGAACTACTAATTCTGAATATAAAAGTAAGTTTTTTCTAAAGCAACAAAAACACAGGGGCAGGGCTTACAGAGAACAATGGTGGATGTTAGCCGATATTATTAATCATGTAACATTATATTTAATTATGTACATTTACGTATTGCTCTCCCATAATGGCCATGCATATCCGAATGGTGGCAGCCGATTACTTAGCCTAGTATAGCTCTAACAATCAATGTATCTAGACATAGTTCTCTCATACGTATTGAGGAGATAACATTTGTATAGAATAGGGACTCTTTCTTACGTAGCCTATTAATAGGCTTGAGGAATAATAATATCACACGGTGAATTTCTTCATCTAACTTGGTATCAGTAGCTCTTCTCCAATGGCTACCACCAAATCTTCCGCTTTTCATCCTGCTCTAGCCATATCAAACATAAAAAAAAATTATCCCCATTACTCTAGATATTGAGAACGTTGAATACTCCTCCTGGGCAGAATTATTTAAAATTACTGCTCGGGCTTATCAAGTTCTCGACCATATCATTCCCTCCAAGGATTCTGCCACCGACACCTCCTCTACATCTTCTGTTGATTCTACTCCCGAAGGTGTTCTCGCCCAGGCCACCGCCAAGGCCGAAGCAACTGCCTTATGGACCCGGTTGGACGCCGTGGTTCTTCAGTGGATATACGGTACAATCTCTCACGACCTACTCCACACCATTATTGAACCCGATGCAACGGCTCAGGAGGCATGGGATCGTCTCACTGACATCTTTCTCGACAATAAGCACTCACGTGTTGTACATTTAGAGAATTTATTTTCCAACACTCGTTTGGAAAATTTTCCAAATGTCGCTGCATATTGTCGCGCTCTAAAAACTTTGGCAAATCAATTGCAAAATGTTGGTTCCGAAGTTTCTCCTAGCCGGCTTGTTCTTCGCTTGGTCAATGGGCTTAGTCCTTAGTATGACACAGTGGCAACACTCATACAGCAGGCCTCACCCCTTCCCACTTTCCAAAATGCACGCTCTATGATCCTGCTTGATGAGACCCGCAAGGCACATCAACTCGGCACTTCCTCGGCCAGTGCTCTTCTCCACGGATCGACGTCCCAGGCTCCTCCGGCTCGCCCAACTCCACCCACCCGCGGTGGCCGCAGCTCATCATCTTCCCGGCGCGGACGTGGTGGGCGTGGTTCACCTCGTCCAGATCCTCCTTCGCCCAACGCTTGGACGTCCCCACCACCGTGGGCCTACTGGTTGCCACCGTCGCCATGGGCTATCCCACCCTGCCCCTATCCGTCTGCACCATGGACAGTTCCACCCTCACCACGCCCGACTCCTGGAGCTGGCATTCTTGGCCCTCGGCCTCAAGCACATCTCTCGGAGCCAGCTCCTCCTCTCACGGATATTAATGCCGCCATGCATACTATGACTCTCACACCTCCCGATGATAATTGGTATATGGACACCGGAGCCACGTCACACATGACATCCAACTCAGGTACTCTCACATCTCTTTCTCAATTAGGTACTAACCGATTTATTATGGTTGGCAATGGCAATACCATGCCCATTTCGGGTCTTGGTCACACTACCCTACCCTCCCTACCCCCCCCCCCCTTCAACTAAAAAATGTCCTTCATGCCCCATCCCTAATTAAAAATCTTATTTCTGTTCGCCGTTTTTCTACTGATAACTCTGTGTCTGTTGAATTTGACCACGTTGGTTTTTCTTTGAAGGATCTCCGCACGGGACAACAACTCATGAGGTGTAACAGTACGGGTGAACTCTACCC